TGTGAGGAACCTAGGTTGAGTATAAAGTTTATATAGAAATTTCTTATAATATTTTGTAACTATTCTATAAATTTAAAAATATAAAGTTAATGAAAAACCTCAAAATTGTATTTATACAATAACTAAATATATTTTTAAAAAATTGGAATGATACTTTTTTTTCAGTTTATACCTTTCAACCACCTCCACCCAATTCTCACACCCCTCAACCCTGTCTCTGGCAAATACCAATCTGTTCTCTGTTTTTATGAGTTCAGGTTTTTAGATTTCCACATATAAATGAAGTCATACAGTATTTTTTCTCTGACTTATTTTACATAACATAATGCCCTAACATTATAGTCATGCTATCACAAATAACAGGATACTCTTCTTTTTATGGCTGAATAATATTCCATTGTACATATATACCACAACTACTTTATCAATTCATCCACCACTGGACATTTAGGTTATTTCCATGTCTTGGCTATTATAGATAATGCTGCTATGAACATGGGGGTGCAAATATCTATTCGAGATAGTGATCTTGTTTTCTTCAGATGTATTATATACCCAGACAGGGGATTCCTGGATCATATGGTGGTTCTAGTTTTTAATTTTTTGAGGAACCTCCATACTATTTTCCATAGTTGTTACACCAATTTACATTCCCACCAACAGTGCAAGAGGGTTCCCCTTTCTCTACATGCTTCCCTTTCCTCCATATCTCTTTTCTTTCTGAGGAAAGCAATTCTAACAGGTACAAGGTGACATTTCATCATGGTTTTGATTCTCATTTCCCTGATAATTAGTGATGTTGAGCATCTGTTCATGTACTTGTTAGCCATCTGTATATCGTCACTGGAAAAAACATCTACTCAGATCCTCTACCCACTTTTTAATTGGACTGCTTGATTTTGTATACTGTTGTATTAATAGTGGTTGAACTAAAGTGGTGGATCCTGAAGTGATTTGTTTTCCTCTTATTTTCCAAATATTTTTTATGCAGTTACATTACCTTTATATCGAAAAAGATTATTCAGAAAAAATGCATAAAATATATATGGATAAAATGGGACAAGATAGAAATATTTAAGAGCTAAGCTTACAGCTAAAAAATTTTTCAATATTATTACAATAGTATTTTGATAGTAAATAATACCCTTTTATTTTATTTTTTTTAAGATTTTATTTATTTATTTGAGAGAGGGAGAATGAGAGACAGAGAGCACGAGAGGGAAGAGGGCCAGAGGGAGAAGCAGACCTCCCACCGAGCAGGGAGCCCCATGCGGGACTCAATCCCGGGACTCCAGGATCATGACCTGAGCCAAAGGCAGTCGCCCAACCAACTGAGCCACCCAGGCGCCCTAAATAATACCCTTTTTAAAGAAAGCACAGAGACTATTAGCAGAGATACAAACTGCATGGCCTTGAGATACACATACTGTTATATTTGGTGGTGTTCTGGCTAAAATAAAATATCAGTGGAGTCCTCTGAGCACTGAATGGTTGTCAGAACTGATGAGCTGAGGAGAGAAGTGACAAAGAAGACAAACCTCTATTAATAGCAGAACAATAGAGTCTGATGAGAAATGAACAAGCAAAGAAACAACTGTGAAATTCAAGAGAAAACAAAGGGATCTACAGAAATGACAAATGCAGCATGCCCGTTAGTCTGTAGCATGAAACAATCTAATTAGGCAATAGGGAGAGAATGGGGGCCTCTCCTGGAATGCAGCAGATGGCTAAGAGTGGCTGCTTCAGCAGAATGCTAAAAATGCCTTTAGAACCTAGGATATCAACACAAGAAGATTCACAAGAGGAACCAATATAACCTCTGATCTTACAAAAGGGGAAACCAAGGCCCAGAGAACAGGGGAAGGGTCTTATGTAAAGTCCACAGTGAATTCTGGGAGGGCTAGGACTGAATCCCAGACCAGAACTCTTTCCACCAACATCAGTTGCTTTCCCCAAAGTGTGTATGCTGAGAATGTCACTATTTTTATGAAGGGAATCTAAAACTCCCGAACAATCATGCAGTTGACCCTTGAACAACACAGTTTGAACTGCATGGATCCACTTACACACGGGTTTGTTTCTTTGTTTTTCATAAATGTGGTACAGTACTCTAAATGTATTTTCTATTTTATTAATAACATTTTCTTTTCTTTAGCTTACTTTATTGTAAGAATATAGTATGTAATACATAAAACATTATAAAATATTTGTTAATCAACTATTTTATGTTAACAGTAAAGCTTCCGGTCAATAGTAGGCTATTAATAAAGTTTTGGGGGAGTCAAAAGTTACATGTGGATTTGTGCACAGGGGAGAGGGGTCAGTGCCCCTAATCCTTACATTGTTCAAGGGCCAACTGTACTCCAAATTAGGTTCATCATGAAAATGGGGCAATGTAATCTCAATTTCTCTATAGAGAATTTCTCTGAGAAAATAATCCAATTTCTTTAACTTGAGACAATTGCTCCTGTGTATTTACAACACAGGACTAAGGTGTAGGAAGGAAATGCATTTTTGTGCACCATTTCACATTTGTAAATATGATCATTGCTATATGTCACAGGAAAGACACATATCCAAAGCCCATCTCTTTCACCTACTCTCTGGCTTCTGCCTAGACATATTCTCTAGTGTCTTCAGTACAAATGGCAGGAGGCCTGAGCTCCTAGTGGTGTCTGCCATTTTACAGCTAAGTGATCCTTAGCTCCATTTCCTTCATCAATAAAATAGGGAGCTCTACAGGATGACTTCAAAGGTCTCTCCCAGTTCTAATATCCTATGATTCTGTGAACCTAAGTTAACACTGCTATCATCAAACTTTCAAAACCTCCATATTAAATTTGTATTTCCTTATGAGAAAATTAGGAACTCGGGCGCCTGGGTGGCTCAGATGGTTAAGCATCTGCCTTCGGCTCAGGTCATGATCCCCGGGTCCTGGGATCGAGTCCCGCATCGGGCTCCCTGCTCCTTGGGAGCCCGCTTCTCCCTCTGCCTCTCTCTCTCTGTCTCTCATGAATAAATAAATAAATCTTTAAAAAAAAAAAAAAGAAAATTAGGAACTCTCCTCAGAGAAACCAGTGGGCCCTAATGGCCTAAATTCAAAATCTAGGAGCTGAAGTTATGAATTATATTCCCAACTCTAATAAGAAGTTCTCTAGGTGAGTCTGGGAGAAGTCACAAAGCAAGGAACCATTCTACCCTGGGTCATTTAGTCAGTCAAACTAACATCTCAGGAACACTAATTTTGCAAGAATTTTGATGAGAAAAGACTTACGGATTTTGGAGATAAAAGGTATCTTCAACAACCGAACAACACTTGAACAGAGTAGCCAATCAAGAAGACATGCTGGCCTGGGAATCAGTAGACCTGGAATCAGTCCTAATGTGCCAATTACCAGTGTGTGACCTTAATAGGAACAAGAGGCTGGGAGCAGGAAGGACACTAATATTCACTGAGTACCTATTATATGCCAGGCACATGAGTTGATCTGAAAATAATAATGGAGGCCTATCTCCCCCAAGATATCTTCCAGCTTAAACATCCAAATTTAATCTCCATCGGTGTTTAAAGAACAAGGTAGAAAAGCAGGTGGACTGAATCATGCAAAATGTATTTGGAATTTTGATTTTATAACAGGCTTGAAAGGAAAACAAGATCAGTGAAGGTGGCGGGCATAGCTGACAGAGAGAATACCATATAATTAAATTTTCAGGAGGAAACTACTAAGTATGAAAGCAGAAAATGGAGAAAAGAGAGAGGATAGCAGCTATATGAACATGAACAGAGCAAACAAACAAACAACAAACAAACAAACTAGGGGAATAATGAAACATGAGATTAAAAAGAATTAATAAAGGGAGCTAATTAAACATTTACCAAAAAATGCAAAACTATCTAAAGAATATAAGATACGCTTAGAGAAAAAGACTGAAAGAAAACATGTCAAAAAAAAGTGGTTACTGGGGACTGTGCATGATTGTTACTTTCTTATTTATATCTTCTGTATTTTCTAAATTTTCTTAGCAAGCATATATTGATATTATCATTATAGTGAGAAAGAGGATAAATCTCATGTAAAATGTTTACTCAGTATCTAAAAAAAAAAAGTAATATATATTTGGCTGTGACTACAAAAATAAAGAGACGTTTACCCAGGTGAGAAGGGATGAGAAAATTCTGGGCAAAAGAAATAGCCAATAAAGAGATAATGAATATGGAAAAAAACAGAAATATTCTAAGAACCTCAAGCAGTTGGCAAGTACCGTTATGGGCAAGAATAGTAGGAAATAAATCTGGAAAAGTCTTATAAGTAGAAGAACAACTATGAAGAGCTTTGTATGTCATACAAAGAAGTTTAAATTTCAACCTACAAAAGCTTTTATGAACCAAAGAATAACCAAATCATATTTACATGGTAAAAAGAGCTTTTTAACATGCCAAGTGTTTCCAAAATATAAGACTGCCTCTGCCATATTTTATCTTTTACACATTATCTTTTAGTGGCTTCTTTATTTATCAGAAATTCTTATGGCATTCCCTCAACCAGATTTCAACAACATGAAAATGTCAGGGGAGGGGGAAGAAAGAGGCAAGAAATTCAGTAGCATTATTTCCTCTCTTCTAACCCCTGTCTATAAGTTCAGGGGTGCTCTCAAAAGAGAATTACAAAATTCTCATTTGTCTGTTATCAGTACTAAGTGTCTCAGAAAATAAGGAACAGCACTAATTTAAAATATTCTATCCTGTTGTTACTTTAAGCACGTAAGTACATTGCTATTAATAAAGAGCATATATTTCAAATTTGGGTTCACTAAGAATGGTGACCATAGTATGGCTAGTTGTAAATATGCCTATCTTTCCCATTAGGCCATGTGCTACCTATAAGTTGGCACTGTGTTTACTTCATCTCTCTATCTCCTAGGCCTAGCACAGAACTTCATGGTAGCCTCACGGCATCGAGTGGGTAAAACCCTCTTAAGAGTCTTCAACTTTGCTTCCAGCCTAAGCTAGAGCCAGTGGGCCTCCAGCCTAGCAGAGCTTTCACCATGGCCCTCAGCGATGCTGACATGCAAAAGCAGATTAAGCATATGGTGGCTTTTATTGAACAAGAAGCCAATGAGAAAGCAGAGGAAATAGATGTGAAGGCAGAGGAAGAGTTCAACATTGAGAAAGGTCATCTTGTGCAAACCCAAAGACTGAAGATTATGGAATACTACGAGAAGAAAGAAAAGCAGATTGAGCAGCAGCAGAAAATCCAGATGTCTAATTTGATGAATCAAGCAAGGCTCAAAGTCCTCAGAGCAGGAGATGACCTTATTACAGACCTACTAAATGAAGCAAAACAGAGACTCAGCAAAGTGGTAAAAGATACAACCAGGTACCAGGTGCTGCTGGATGGACTGGTCCTTCAGGGTTTGTACCAACTGTTAGAGCCCCGAATGACTGTTCGTTGCAGGAAGCAGGATTTCCCTCTGGTAAAGGCCGCAGTGCAAAAAGCGATTCCTATGTACAAAATTGCCACCAAAAAAGATGTTGATGTCCAATTTAATCAGGAGGCCTACCTGCCTGAGGAAATAGCTGGTGGAGTTGAGATCTACAATGGGGATCGTAAAATAAAAGTTTCCAATACCCTAGAAAGCTGGCTGGATCTCATAGCCCAGCAGATAATGCCAGAAGTACGGGGAGCCTTATTTGGTGCAAATGCCAACAGGAAGTTTTTGGACTAAACCTTTGGGTGAGGCAGAGTTTATCCACTGCTCTCCTGCTGTAATGCGAAAGTTTCTGATATTTGAAGAAACAAGATATCCTCTTTGCTGTTGTAATATTCTATATTTATCAGTGGATTCTCTCTGTAGCTAATGCCCTTGGCCTAATTGTTAACAGGAGAGAAAGTCTGACTTACTATGAGCAGGAAACCTCCTTCTTAGCTTATCTGAAAGTAGCACAACTTTCATCTGCTTCTGTAGCATGAAGGTGAGGGTATCAGATGGTGGTTACTGGAGCTTCCCCGAGTCTCTGCTCTTCCTCTCATCTTCTGCTGTCGTTCTCAAGTCTAGAGGGTGATGTGTATGGTGTTCTCTGACATTCAGTCTCTGCTCTTTAGGCTTCAGATGCATGGGGGGGGCATGCATTCCTACCAGCACTAGTAGCACTGTTCACCTGTTTGGGCCTAGAAGCGTTCCTCATCTGTAAATGTGATTTAGAATCTAAGCCATGAATCGGTCTTATTTATTAAAACAAAAGGTTTACATGGCAAAAAAAAAAAGAGTCTTAAACTTTGTAAAATTTCCCACAGAACATTCATTTCATTCCTAAAAGATTTTCCTCTTAAGATTTAGTAGTTTGTTCCTAGAAAAATCCTTTAGAAGTTTTTTTTTATTTCATATTAATTCACAAAAGAAATGGGGGGGGGAACAAGCCCTCTCCAAAGCACATTACTGTTAGTAAGAAGTAAATTATCAGCAGAGCCCACTGACCTGCTATGTACACATTTCTCATAAGCTTTAACCTCTATGTAAAGGAATAATATCACCAGAGCTACAATTACAATGTGAGTATTTATGGGCAGAAAAATGAGGACAAGGCCTAGACACCTCAGCTATGGGAAAACAATCCATTATTAAAATAAACACAAGGCTTAGAATGGAAAGCAACTTGGGTTTCACTGGGGATTTTGATGAAACTAAAACACAAAACCTTTCATAAAGTCATTTCAATGTCAGAATTAGATAGGGCTTTGATATAAAGTAGGAAGAGAAAAAGTATGTTTTAAAACCAGTTACAGGAAAGAGCAGCATCCAAGGGCAGAGGAGCTTCTCAATGCTTTGGGATAAGGAAAAAGAATGTTGTTGACAAAGGGAAAGAAAAGTTTCTGCATTAGAAAGACATAAATGTTGGCGAGGTTGTGGAGAAAGGGGAAGGAACCCTCTTACACTGTTGGTGGGAATGCACGTTGGTACAGCCACTTTGGAAAACGGTGTGGAGGTGCCTCAAAAAATTAAGAATAGAGCTACCTTATGACCCAGCAATTGCACTCCTGGGTATTTACCCCAAAGACACAGATGTAGTGAAAAGAAGGGGCACATGCACCCCAATGTTCATAGCAGCAATGTCCGCAATAGCCAAACTGTGGACAGAGCCGAGATGCCCTTCAACAGATGAATGGATAAAGAAGATGTAGTCCATATATACAATGGAATATTACTCAGCCATCAGAAAGGATGAATACCCAACTTTTACAACAACATGGATGGGACTGGAGGAGATTAGGCTAAGTGAAATAAGTCAAGCAGAGAAAGTCAATTATCATATGGTTTCACTTATTTGTAGAACATAAGGAATAGCATGGAGGACATTAGGAGAAGGAAGGGAAAAATGAAGGGGGGGGGAATCAGAGGGGGAGATGAACCATGAGAGACTATGGACTCGGAGAAACAGAGTTTTAGAGGGGTGGTGGGTGGAGGGATGGGTTAGTCCGGTGATGGCTATTAAGGAGGGCACGTACTGCATGGAGGACTGGGTGTTATACGAAAACAATGAATCATGTAACACTACATCAAAAACTAATGATGTATTGTATGGTGACTAACACAATATAATAAAATCAAATTAAATTAAATTAAAAAAAGAAAGACAAAAAAATCAGAATAACGGGGAGATTAAGTGAAGTTTTTTTTTAAATACCTTTATCGAGATATACTTCATATATCATAAAATTCACCCATTTAAAGTGTAAAAGGTAAACTTATGTTGTTTTTTATTTCCTACTTAAAAACAAACTACAGGGGTGCCTGACTGGCTCAGTAGTTGGGTGTCTGCTTTTGGCTGGGGCCATGATCCCGTAGTCCTGGGATCGAGCCCCATGTCGGGCTCCCTGCTCCACGGGAGGCCTGCTTCTCCTTCTCCCACTCCCCCTGCTTGTGTTCCCTCTCTCACTGTGTCTCTCTCTGTAAAACAAAATAAAATAAAATAAAATACAACACTATACTCTTGGGGCACCTGGGTGGCTCAGTCGTTAAGCATCAGCCTTTGGCTCAGGTCTTGATCCTGGAGTCCCAGGATCGAGTCCCGCATCGGGCTCTCTGCTCGGCGGGAAGCCTGCTTCTCCCTCTCCCACTCCCCCTGCTTCTGCTCCCTCTCTCACTGTCTCTCTCTCTCTGTCAAATAAATAACAAAATCTTTAAAAAATAAAAAAATAAAAAAACAAACTATGCCCTTTTTAGAACATTAAAGCATGGCATCTTCAAATAATGTCAAAAAAAATGATAATTCCTTATCATTCTCCCTTAAGTGAAATCATTTGTAAGATTCCATTCTATCTAATAATTTTCACTGCATAATTTCTTCATTGCTAAGTCCATAACTTTTTTGACATATACTCAGTGTAGCTATACAACAAAGCATGCAGCAAGTCGTTTTTTCTTGCTAAGATATAATCCTGTAAAAAGTTAGCAGTGAAGCAAAATAGGTAGCCAGATCTTTCAATGCTATCAATTCAACATTCCCAGATCATAGTGAAGACTCCTCAACAATGGATGTTCAAATCCAAAAAGTTACAAAAAGTCCATTAGTTCAAAGAACGAGGCTTCTGACTCAGATATACATTTTGAATTCACAAATATTCACACAAAATCAGTATCTATTCTGACAAAACAGCACTGAAATGATTTTAGCCATTAATAATCCCTCTGGACTAGAAAGGGGAACCCTCCTACACTGTTGGTGGGAATGCAAGCTGGTGCAACCCCTCTGGAAAACAGTATGGAGGTTCTTCAAACAGTTGAAAATAGAGCTACCCTACGATCCAGCATTTGCACTACTGGGTATTTACCCCAAAGATACAAATGTAGGGATCCGAAGGGGTACGTGCACCCCAATGTTTATAGCAGCAATGTCCACAACAGCCAAACTGTGGAAAGAGCCAAGATGTCCATCGACAGATGAATGGATAAAGAAGATGTGGTATATATACACAATGGCATATTATGCAGCCATCAAAAGGAATGAGATCTTGCCATTTGCAACGACGTGGATGGAACTGGAGGGTGTTATGCTGAGTGAAATAAGTCAATCAGAGAAAGACATGTATCATATGACCTCACTGATATGAGGAATTCTTAATCTCAGGAAACAAACTGAGGGTTGCTGGAGCGGTGGGGGGTGAAAGGGATGGGGTGGCTGGGTGATAGACACTGGGGAGGGTATGTGCTGTGGTGAGCACTGTGAATTGTGCAAGACTGTTGAATCACAGATCTGTACTTCTGAAACAAATAATGCAACATGGTATGTTTAAAAAAAAAGAAAAAAGAAGATAGCAGGAGGGGAAGAATGAAGGGGAGTAAGTCAGAGGGGGAGATGAACCATGAGAGATGATGGACTCTGAAAAACAAACTGAGGGTTCTAGAGGGGAGGGGGTGGGGGATGGGTTAGCCTGGTGATGGATATTCAAGAGGGCACGTTCTGCGTGGAGCCCTGGGTGTTATGCACAAACAATGGATCATGGAACAGTACATCAAAAACTAATGATGTAATACATGGTGATTAACATAACAATAAAATTTTAAAAATTAATTAAAAAAAACAATAATCCCTCTGGACTGTTGAGTAGCATTTGAACCGCCATGATGAAGTAAAAAGAACACTGGCTTTGTAGTTCAAATTCTGGCCATAGTTCCTACTGTCTTTGTGACCTTACGTAAGGCTGTCCTTATCCCTAATGTTCCATACCTCTAGGCCAAACACTCCTTCAAATGACATGGGCACACATATCTTAGGCACATTTTGGGGGACTAGCATACATGACCAGACTCTTTCTCCACACACACAACTGCCTTTGGACTTTATTTTCAATATTGGCTCTTCCTGGTTACTATAGATTTAATGTTTGTGTCCCTCCCAAAATTCGTATTTTGAACCCTAATACCCAGTTGTAATGCTGTCAGGAGGTAGGGCCTTTGAGGGGGTGCTTACATCATGAGGACAAAGCCTTCATGAATGGGATTTGTGCTCTTATAAAAGAAGTCCCAGAGAGCTCACTTGTCCCCTTCTGCCATGTGAGGCTACAGCAAAAAGACACAATCTATGAACTAGAAATCAGGCCCTCCCCAAATACTGAATCTGCCCGCACCATGATCTTGGTCTTCCCAGCCTCCAAAACTGGGAGAAATAAACTTCCATGGTTTATAAGCTTCCCAGTTTATGGTATATTTGTTATATAGAAGCCCAAATAGACTAGAAGCCCAGTAGACCCTGGTTCTACTGCAGATTGCCTTTGCACTAGAACTGCAACTTTTTCCTAGTTCTCCAACCTGCGGGCCTCCCCGATCAGATTTTGAATTTGGCAAGCCTCCACAATTGTGTGAGTCAATTCCTTAAAATAAATACCTTTCTATACATATACACATCTTATTGCTTCTGTTTCTCTGGAGAACCCTGACTAATACAGCAAAATCTCACCTCCAAATGCAGAGTTTTTAAGAACAGGCTCCACAATGTGTCTGAACCTTGAAAATATCATGCTAAGTGGAAGGAAGGAAGAAAGGAAGGAAGGAAGGAAGGAAGGAAGGAAGGAAGGAAGGAAGGAAG